CATTTAGGCTGTCTCCATGTCTTGGCTATTGTAAATAGTGCTGCTATGAACACTGGGGTGCAGGTGTCATCCTGAAGTAGGGTTCCTTCTGGATATATGCCCAGGAGCAGGATTCCTGGGTCATACGGTAAGTCTATTCCTAGTCTTTTGAGGAATCTCCACACTGTTTTCCACAGTGGCTGCACCAAACTGCATTCCCACCAGCACTGTAGGAGGGTTCCCCTTTCTCCACAGCCTCTCCAGCATTTGTCATTTGTGGATTTTTGATTGATGGCCATTCTGACTGGTGTGAGGTGATACCTCACTGTAGTTTTGATCATATTTTGGCTCCTGATTGGTAGAATTAAGAGGCCAATTGAGGTTGGTAGAAACTCCCGGGGGGGGGGACTCAGGGTGTGTCCGGTTCTATTTCACACCTGCAGCTTCCCTTCTGCCACAGTTCAGGTGAACTAACTGGCATTGGTCGCATGCTTTCTCAGGCATAATTATGATCATGTAAGGTTATGAATGGGCAGCGAGAGGGAGAGTCAGGAAGGCGGTTCTGCTTCCCTTCCGGTACGGCGACAGGAGTTAGGCGAGTCCAGATACGAAAGCCCAAGCTGAAACTGACCGGCACAGGAAGGCACGAAGCCCCGGCAGGGAAGGGAAGGTGCGAAGTCAGGGCGCTGGGCCTGGCAGAGCTCAGGACTGCATTCAGTTTTCTGAACCCAGGAAAACCTAGAAACCAGGCAGAAGGTTTGCTGGAAATTGATGGTTAAAACAAGAATAAATTCTCATCAGTCATCTAAGGAAGACTGGATGAAATATACTTGAAAAGTGTATTGTTTCAAATTCTGAATGGTTTTCAAGAAGACCTAATATGATTTCATTAAAAATGGATTAAAGTAAATTATACACAATTCATCTATTAAATGCCGTTGCTAAGTTTGCAAATGGAATTTCATTTTTAATAAATGAAGATCTGAAATGAAAAACTATAAAATAAAATGTTCTTATTTGCAGATGATATAAGGTAAGAATATGGCTAATGTCTTATTTTTTAGGAAAGGAAATTCAGGTTTCTTCTTTTAGAACGCTGTACCTTTAGGAGCGCCGTATGTGCTTACAAATTGGTCATAGGAGAAGGCATGATGTCGCACATCATGATGGTTTGCATTATATTGTTGGACCAATGATACATCTTAGCACCCATTAACGTTAATGAGTTACGTCAATAATAATGAGTTAAGTTTTACACACACGTACACAAAAGGAAATTGGTTGAATATATATATATAGTATAAAAAGGAAAGGAGGAAAAACAAATTACCAAGCTAAAAATGAGTGTCATTTCCATTTTTAAGATGGCAAAGAGAAAATGAAAGTTGAAGAAGTACCTATGTGTCTGCTCTTTTAAAAAAAATGTACACAAACTTCATAATTTGTATTTAATTTCTATCTGGCTCCGTTTTCCTTCCAGGGCATGCTGCTGAAGCGAAGTGGCAAATCACTGAACAAAGAATGGAAGAAGAAATACGTCACCCTGTGCGACAACGGTGTGCTGACCTATCATCCCAGCTTACATGTGAGTGTCGCCCCCTCAGAGCAGCGAGCCGGCGAGGGGCGTGGGGGCGGAGGGGGCCCCGGCACAGTGAAGACCCTCGTCTCTGTTGGAGGTTCCAGGAGTATCTGGTCTCCTCCCTCGTGAGCTAAAATAACCCCGCCCCTCGCACTCCATCAGCCCAGGTGTCTTTCCCTCTCCCTTCTCCCTAACAGTCAATCTGTGGCTCTGATTCTACAAAGAATTGCAGTAAAAGGCACAGATGAAGTAAAATTTTAAATTAGAGTAAAAAGACGAGAGCAAATAGTGAAAGAGAAGGGAGAAAACACAGCATCTCTCTGAAAATCTAGACTAAAGGAATCAACTACACTGGGAGCCAAGGTCAGCCCTGAACAGCTGGGAACAAAAACAAGAATTAAATGCAATTCATGCGTCCGTTTTTATTGTCCAGTCAGAACACGTAACCAGTTCATCAGGCAACTTCGTTTTCTCTGTGTGCAATGAAATCTGTTGTACTGGTGACTTATACATAAGAGAGATTAAAAGACAGTTAACTTCATTATGGGGGAAAGGTCGACATTCCGCCCATGGTGAGCTCTTTCAGAAAGCCCTGGTGAAACCATGAAGATGGGGCGTGGTGACCATTCCAGAACAACACAGGCCAGGAATTATGCGTATTTATCTGCCTAATGTGGATAAATGTGTAGATTCGCATATATGGTATGAGCTGGTCATATGGTTATATCACAGCGTTAAGCTTTTCATTTTAAATACTTAAAAAAAATTCCACAGTGATTGACGAGAAGGTAGAAATGAGCAAACTGGAGGAAATGAAAATCTCTCCCCAAAATAGCACCTAGAGAACGGGCCCGCGCACCCTTGGGGGCGTAGACGCCCAGCCATTCCTGCGCCCTGCGCGTTCCCCCCCCCCCCCGGAAGCTGCAGCGCCCCGCGCGCGACGTCAGATCTCAGGCCCCCCCCGCGTCGGCGCAGACGCTGTGTGCCACCCTTTCTAGTGGTCGCAGAACGTTCACTCCGCCGCTGCGCCCCTTTGATTGAACACTGTCTCCAAAGCAGACACCGGGCAGGGAAACTTACCTTGTGAAGTATTCCTGCTGTTGCGAGTGACTCTGATCCGCGTCCTCTTCCGGCTCCTCCGGGCCCTTGTCCGATGCCCTCAGGCGATCTTCCCGGTAGGCTTCCCGAGCTGAAGAGTCCGTGAGCCTTTATGAGCTGTGAGGGTGCTGCCAGATTTCTGGAAAGATCGGTTCAGTTCATCTCCTGGCTTTTCCCCGGTACCCTCGGGAACACTTAGTTTTAAAAGGTAAATAAACAAACAAATAAGTAAATAAATAAATAAATAAATAAATAAAATTTTGAAAGCACCCTTCCGATAGGACAGGTCACGACGGTGTCCTCACTGTGTGACCTGCCTCCTGCGGTGAACTGCCCTTTCCCCTCTAGTCTTCATCTTTCTGAAACGTGTTACAAAGCAGGTGTTTCAGTGGGCATCTCTGGGCATGCTCCCCACGCTTCAGCGTGAAGCTGACTTCTGGGATGTACACTCCTTATTGTACTGAGAAAGTTCCCTTGTGCTTGATTTATTTGGGGTTCTTTGGGGAGGAGAGTCAGGTCACCTCTCCAGTGACCGCCAAGTCAGAGACTTCCTACTGTCCCGTGGGCCTGGCGGGGACAGTCCCGCCCCGTCCAGGTCTGTGGGGCCCCCTCCCCAGAGCGGCTCCTCCACGGGGGGGCTGCCTTTTCCCTGGCGTAGTTCTTCCCAGGACCCCATCAGAGCGAAGCCTCATTCTTGACCCATTTTGCTTTATGTTACTTGGAGAGAGACAAGCAGTCAGAACCTCCTTCTGGCTGGGACCCCCAACCAGGGAAAAGTGAGATCTGGTAGATGATGCATTTCAGGCCACCTTACACTCACCTGCCAAGCCCGGGCTCCGTCAGAGGGACATTGGCTGCTTTCTTGCCAAGGGGAAAAGATGGTAACAATGAAAGAGGATGCTGGAAAACTCCTGTAAGAAGGCTAATGCCCGATTCCTTTTCATGTCAGCCTCTTGATTATAGACTCAATCAGTTCTTCAAAAATCCTCCCACACAGGCTACTTCTTCTGCTGGCCCTCGACTCCGTGTTTTTCTTCTTCCTGTGTATGCATGGACATTACTGGAATACAGAAGAGGAGGACAGGGGGCTTTGTTCTGTAATTGGATAGCAGACAAGAGCCAGTGTCATTTTAAAGTGCAATTCAGTTAATGCCAGTCTCCTGGGAACTGAAATTATTGATGTAGGTACAGAGTTCCCTTAGGGAGTGGCTTCATCTGGGAATGGGTTTGACTTACTAGAGCGCGGAGAGATGGCATGACCTTCATTGTCATCCTTCGCTGATTTTGTTTTCACAGCCAAGCTTTGGGGGCACACTTGGCGGGCCAGAGAGTTCCAGGTATATTCTCTGGCATTTGCCTGGAAGGGGTCTGTTCTAGTCTAAGTTGTTAGATCTCTGGCTGCTGAGTTAGTCTGGCATTCTTTGGTTCAGAATGGGAAGAGGTACTCAAGGGGTGTCCATGGGCAGAATCCTGACTTCCCTTAATAAGACAGTTAGGAGTGTACGGATGTATTGCTAATTCCAGCCCCGTGATTCTACGTCATGGAGAATGGCCCAGCGAGTCTAGCCTGGGAGATGTCAAAAGGCGACAGAACCAAATGATCTCAAGTACCAACCACACTGTTAACACTCACGTCCTAGGTTATCCTCCAAGGCCTTTGATGGCAGAAGGACCACCAAGGTACTGCATGAGTTCACTGGCCACATGCGATGAAGACATAAGTGATTAAGTGTTGGGGGCATCTTGCCCCAGCTGTGGCTTTGGGTTTCAGTGTTGCTGGTCATCACCCTGTTACTGGCCATGGAGCAGGGGGTCTGCACTGATCCCCAGTAGCAGAGCCCACAGCCTGCTCCTCTCCAGGGAGTGAGGGAGAGAACCTTGCTAAGCAGTCTGACGGTTTCAGATCGAGTTTTTTGATAGTGGAGTAACTGTGCCGGCTTTTGGTGGATACTGCTAACGTTTTTTTTTAAATTAAAGTCTAGTTGATTTACAATGTTGTGTTAGTTTCTGGGTACAGCATAGTGATTCAGATAAACACACACATACACATACATATATATTCTTTTTCAGTGGGGAGGTAATTAGGTTTATTTATTTACTTACTAATGGAGGTACAGGGGGCTGAACCCAGGACCTCCTGCATGCCAAGTGTGCACTGTACCACTGAGCTATACCCTCCTCCCTATATATTCTTTTTGACATTCTTTTTCAATATAGGTTATTACAAGCTATTGAATACCCCTATGCTATACAATAGGACCTTGTGTTTATCCATTTTATATATGTTACTATGTATTTGCAAAACTCTATAACTCCCAATTTATTCCTCTCCCTGCCCTTCCCTCCCTGGTAACCACAAGTTTGTCTGTGAGTCTCTCTCTGTTTTGTAAATAAGTTCACGTGTGTCATTTTCTTTTCCGATTCCACATATAAGTGGCATCATGTGATACTTGTCTTTCTCTGCCTCACTTCACTTCACTTTCTGTGACAATCCCTAGGGCCAGTGGCATTGTTTCATTCTTTTTCATAGCTGAGTAGTATTCCATTGTTTACGTAGGTATATACTGCTCACTTTTGATAATTAGATCATTTATTTACCAAAAAGGAAACTGTCATGCTTTTGGTGGGGGTGGGATTTTAATAAGATGATGCTCTAGTAATGGGGCAGGGGTGGGAGTTTGAGAGCAACAGGCTCGAGGCCCATCAGGTAGACACTATGTGGGGCTGAGCAGTGGCCCCTTCAGAACCAGCATTTACGGGTCGCTGTGCAGCCTTCCCGTGCTGGCAGTTATTCTCCGTGCACACGTGCACTGCTCACAGGCTCTGTCAGGCTGGACCCTGACTCCATCACCAGCCACCTTTGACTTGGTGTCCCGTCAAACCCAAGGACACCGTGAGAGTACTGTGCGTGCTGGATAGCGTGGTCTGTAAGTCTGGACCCTCCTTGCAGGGGCTGCTCTAGGTGGCTCTGGTGTTAATTAGCCAAATTGAAATCCCGGATGTTTGATGATACTGTGAGTCTGAAATCTTCACCAAAAACTCTTAGCAAGTGGAGGTTCATTGAGTCAATTGGACTTCTACGGAAACACCCATCCCAAGACAGGAGCTGCTGAGTGAGATCTGTTTCATGGTAAGACAAAGACTTGGGTCCAGAAAAAACTGTTAATTTGATTCCTCTTTCTTTCTCAAGATGCCGTTACTAAATAATAAAACCTACAACCCCCTTCAGAGAACACATGGGAAACTCAACCAGAACAAGGAAACCGCTTCGGTTTTGTAAACGCTCCACACAGGAGTGCGTCCGACTGCCTTGGTTTTGGTGGGTTGCAGGAAGTTCAGTGCTGCAACCCGGGAGGCCCCAGGCCTGTGGAACAAGTTGGTCACCCTCGCTTCCGGACTGGCCAGCTTACCTGTCCTAGCAGGTCCACTTGGGACTTCGTAAAGACAACCCTGAGCAGGTGACTAGGACTGAAGTTGTGGAAGGCGAGCTGTCGGCTTGTGCGGCTGCCCCGTTGTCTGCATTTTTGATTCTCTGCAAAACTGTGCCTCTGCAAGACCTTTAAAAGCCCTCACCGCGCAACTTTCTTGGGGGAGACACGTATGTGTGTCCTGAAGTTTTATGGCACTTGGCCGGTTCACAGTCTGAGCCGGTGCAGGGCAGCCTGTTCTAAGAGCCTTAGATCCCCTTCCTGTGGACTTGAGTATGAGCCTTAGGGAGCACCTTGATAGAAAAAGGGGGTGGATAATGAGAAAGCGCCTGGACCTCGGGGCTGAATGGTTCAGCTTCACCACCCATTCATCTTCGTGTCGAGAGAGCCGCCGCCAAGGGCACAGCTGAAATTCCTACTGACAAAGGTGTGTGCGGAAGGATTCCCACATGGACCTGTAAGAGGTCACTCGTGGCTGCA